GTTAAGTGGGTACTGGATGAATTGAAGCCATAAACCGACAGGCGTGTATTACACACACACACACACACACACACACACACACACACACACACACATAAACACACATATAAACGCAGAAACGTTTATATACCTGAATAATACCGCTACTGAACCGCGAGGTAGGTATTAATTGCCAGAATAAAAATGCCAAGGGCATAAAAGTAGGTATAAAAACACATACACACAATCACCCACTTACACGCATACACACACACACATGTGTGTGTACATACTCACACACACACACACACGCACGCACAGGTACACAAAACGTACACTGTTGTAATTACAATTAATAATAATTTATAGAGTAAAAGTGTTTAACCGTAAACATAGACGAATTTGCTAGTTATTGTTTTCAATATGATGCATTTATATGTTTATTTATTTATACTATTTCAAAATAGTTTGTAAAATAATTAATCTACACAACATGGTAGAATGTAATTGAATTAAACACTGCTCCAAGTTTCTTTTCGACTGTTTTTTTTTATAGGAGCGTAGTCTCTATTTCAACAGAAGCATTAAAAAGTATATAAGTATATTTAATATTATAGTTGCATTAGTAGTAGCAGTAGCAGCTGTAGTAGTGGTAGCAGCAGCATTAGTAGTAGTAATAGTAGTGGTAGTAGCGGTAGTAGTAGTGGTAGCGGTTTTTCAGTTGTAGTATTAGTATTTTAACCGAGAACATTAGCAAAGCAATCACAACAACAGCAAAAAATAATATTATGATTGAAAATAGACAATAATAATAATAATATGAAGAATGAGAATGTGAATAGTAAAAATTAATAAGAGTAATAGAAATAATAATAAAAATAATAATAAAACAACAATAACAATAAAAGCAACAATGACAATATGAATAATAAAAGTTTGACAGCCAGGAAAGCAATATAGACGGCGAAATGTCATTAAAGCGTAGAACCGCTACGCAATGAAGTGAGTGATGGTGATGATGAAGACGATGGTGATGATGAAGACGATGGTGATGATGAAGACGATGGTGATGATGAAGACGATGGTGATGATGAAGACGATGGTGATGATGAAGACGATGGTGATGATGAAGACGATGGTGATGATGAAGACGATGGTGATGATGAAAACGATGGTGATGATGAAGACAATGGTGATGATGGTGATGTCGTTTTAGATGATGGATGATGATGATAAAGACCACAGAAATTGTGATGATGGAATTGATATGATATGATGATAATGAGGAAGATGACTAAGATGATGATGATGATGAGAAAGAAGAAAAAGAAGAAGAAGAAAAAGAAGAAGAAGAAAAAGAAGAAGAAGAAAAAGAAAAAGAAGATGAAGAAGAAGATGATGATGACGACGATGATGATATTAATGCAAATGATTAAAATAATGATAATAAATATGTGAACGACGACGACGATAATGATAATGATGATATTGATGATGATGGTGGTGGTTGAGGGGCTGATATATTGCCAAATAATGATAATACGAAAATTATGTAAACTACGCTAATATTAACAGTTGGCAGCAAGTAATGGCAACCTACCGTCCACAACTAATGTCAAGAAAACCAACGACAAACACAAACCAAATAAAAAAAAAACATCATGGTAGTGACAAGTTGAATACACTTTTCACTGTGACAACATGGAACGTTAGAACGTTGTACCAAACTGGAAAATTTGAAAACGTAAAACAAGAAATGAAAAGAACGAATCTCAGCATTGTAGGTCTGAGCGAAACTCGGTGAAAGAAATCAGGTGTCATTACTTCTGAAAAAATACTTTGGAGGAAATTCACACGAACGATGAGTAGGTGTATTTTTGAACAAAGAAATGTCTAAAAATTTAAAAGGTTTCTGGGCGATGTCAGATAGAGTTTTGTTGGTCAAAATACACGCAAAACCTTTCAACCTAACTGTTACTCAACGTCTGGAAGCAGTGAAGAAGATCTTGATGCTTTTTACAGTGATCTTGATGATGTTTTAAAAACATGTAAATTCAAGACATGCAAATATTCAGATCTGAAGCTCTTGCCGTTCTTACCAAAGTGAAATCAAGTAAAGCGTCAGGTCCAGATGAGATAGTTGCTGAAGAAATTAAATGCCTTGACGAATTTGGCATTGAAAAAATGACAAAATTTTTAAATGAGATTTATAACAGCGGAAAAAAATTCCTAAAGATCTATCAAAGTCAACATTTATTGCACTGCCTAAAAACCTAATGCAACGCAATGTGAACTACACCAAACAATCAGCTTGATGAGTCATCTAAAAAAAACTTCTCTTGAGAATTCTGATGATGAGAGTACGAAGCAAAATCAGATCTGAAAATTCAAATGTCCAATGTTATTTTGTAGAGGATTGTGGCACAAGAAACGCTATCTTTATGCTACGAATGATCGGTGGACGAGCGATTGAAAGGCTTGTTTGTATGTTTTGTCGATTACTCCAAAGCTTTTGATAGCGTGAAACACGTGGAGCTCATGGAAATATTGGAAAATTTGGACATTGATAAAAAAGACACGAGAGTTATCAAAAACCTCTTCTGGGAACAAAGAGCAGCGATGAAAGTTGGTAACAAGATGGCTAGTTTTGTCAAATTAAAAAAAAATGTTAGGCAAGGCTGTGTTTTCTCTCCAGACCTGTACAATCTCTATAATGAGATCATCATATGAAAGATAGATCTACCTTGAATATCCATTGGAGGCGTAAATATTAACAATGTAAGACAAGGATAATTAGGATATTGCAATTATAACAAACTGGGATAATCAAAATAATAACGATATAAACCAAAATAGGAAAATTGTAAAAATAACAGCAATAATATAATAGGATAATTAAGATAATAACAACAATAATAAAAAAAGTTATTAGAACAGTGACGCCATTAAAATCCATTTATGAAACGTTAAGTTACCCTGCACCAACCAGCCAACCAATCGACCAACCGGCCGACCAGCCATCCATACACTCATAACTGTATTGGAAAACAAACGCTAAATTGAACGCAATATAAACTACAATTTCACACCATTCATTTCATACACACACAACACAACACACACGCACACACACACACACATACACAACACAAACACACACAATCAAACTTACACAAAAACACTCAAACTCATGACAGAGACACACTTGAACATACATACATACAAATACAAACATACACATACAAACATTTTAAACTTGATCAATTTATGTTATAATTTAATGTTTCGCAAACACACACTTACAAAATACAAGCAAACGCACACATATAAACACACAAACGCATAAAAATAGTCACAAAGAATGAACATACACACACCTAAAAGACACACGCATACAAAAACAAAGACACAAAAGCGTACATAAATACACATTTGCATACACAAACATACACACGTACACAAATTGAAGTGTTATGGAGCACATAAATATAAACAAACATTCTATTAGGTTAGATGTTAAAAATGACACATCTAGGCATTGATCAAATCATATATCACCGATGTCCAGCTATCTCGTTTGTATGCATACATACAAAACATACTTGCATACATACATACATACATACATACATACATACATACATACATACATACATACATACATACATACATACATACATACATACATACGTACGTACGTACGTACATACATACATACATACATACATACACACACAAACATTGTTTGTTTGTATGCAAAATGATTTTCTAACGTTTTAACGTGGTGTTATGTTAATTTAATTAGCAGATCGATAAAATATGATTGACAAAAGTTTTTCTAGCTTTTTTTGGAAGTTTTTTGTTATAATCAGAAATTATCGTAAATGAATTTTAATCACTAACTCACTGCTTATTATTATTATAACATCAATTAAATAATTGTCAGTTTATTTATTAATCCCAATAACAACAATAAAAAAACATAAATACGTATATATATATATATATATATATATATATATATATATATATATATATATATATATATATATATATATATATATATATATTTACTTTATATTATAAAAATACACGTACATGGTAAATATATAGATATATACTATACACGAAACAGACATAACTGTGTGCGCGCGTGTTCGTGTGTGTGTTTTCCGAACTTCATTAGCTAGAGATGTGCATGTAAGGGTCACATAAAAGTTCAACCAATCAGGAACGGGGTTATAAATCAGGTCAACCAATGAAATTCGTCGTCACGTCTTATTGGCTTTTTGTTTTTCTTTTGTTTTTTTTTGCAGATTTCGATTTTTACTCTGTTGTGTTTTTTTTATATAACTGAGATCTGTAATTTTTTCAGAGTTCGATTTTGTTTGATGTATTATATTATTATTGGCATATTTCTGAAGGAAACATTCATTAGCTGAATGAATGTATGACAAAATATAGTTGTGTGTGTGTCTGTGTGTGTGTTTGACTGCATGAATTTTTGTGTTTTAATATTTTTGTTGTTCAAATAGACAAAATCCAAACAGATTAACAAACAGACATTCTTCTTTATTGTTTACAGATATTTTTAATTAATATAAATAATTATTATTATGCGAGTGCATCTGTATGTATAGTGTACGTGTGTATATATATATGTGTGTGTGTGTGTGTGTGTGTGTGTGTGTGTGTGTGTGTGTGTGTGTGTGTGTGTGTGTGTGTGTGTGTGTGTGTGTGTGTGTTTGTGCATTGAAATATGCATGATTCGAAAAACTTTTCGTCTGAAAGCTACCCCTTGTTACAAGGGGTATAAATCAAAATTCACCGGAAAAATGTATTCGATGTTTTGTTTGTATTTTGGTTGAAAGAGAACTTTAAAAAAAAACTTATTGATCGTTTTGTATGGAAAGAGAAATGAATTTTATTCTTATCGATTTTTATCATAATTTTTTATTCACAATTTTTTATTCCTAGATCCAGAATTTTTGTCTCCATTTTTGTTTTGTGGAAGTTTCTTTTTATGAAAGTTTTATGCAGGCCATTTCATCGGAAGTCCCAATGGTAGTCGCCGTTATGACGTAGTCGATGACGTCATCGTCACGATGATCGTTGGTGATTAGTTGTTGTTTGTCGTCGCTTGTCGGCTGGACGGCCATCATCATCATCATCATCATCATCATCATCATCATCATCATCATCATCATCATCATCATCGTCGTCGTCATCATCATCATCATCATCATCATCATCATTGCTCCTGAAACGTGATGGTGATGATGATGAGGAGGAGGATTACGACGATAATGATGATGATGATGATAAAAATAATGTCGATGATGATGATAACGATGATGGTTTTGATGGAGTTTTAGATTTATTAAGTATGACGTTAAAAGGAAATTCGAAAATATTAATGGTAAAATCGATCGACATCATCATCATCATCGTCATCATAATCACCATCTTCATCGTCATCATCACCACCATAATCATAATTATCATCGCCCTATCACCATCGTTCTTATTAGATTAAGACGTCAGCTGATAACATTCAAGACCTAATCAATGATCGTTCAATGATGATAATGATGATGATGATGGTGATGATGGTGATATTGATGATGATGGTAACAAAGATGATGACGTTGGCAAATGGGTCAAAGAGGATAATGAAGAAGAAGACGACGACGACGATGATGAGTGAGATAAAAAATTGTTCGAGATAGCAAGGCAAGAAATTTTTTCTCCCTTTGTTTTGATTTGTATTGCAATGTTAGAGATAAAAGATGACAAACATCACTGTCGTCATCGTCATCATCATCGTCGTCGTCATCATCATCGTCGTCGTCATCATCATCGCCATCGTCATTTTCAATATGTGTGTATGCGTTTGTATACATGTGTGTTTGTGTTTGTGTGTGCATGTGTGTGTGTTGTGTGTGTCGTGTGTGTTGTGTTTGTGTGTACGCAAATGTATGTACACGTATTTAACAATATTGGCATGTAGATATTTATAGCTTTGTAGATAATCAATGTATGCAGTCTTCCTCCTTATCGATGACGTCATTATTCACCCAACAACGTCATATTCAACGTCATCACAATTGATACTACATCATCGTCGTCATTATTATTATTATCATCATCTCAAAGATGTTTAATGATGACAAAGTTTGGCTTTAAGTCTCTCCATATAAAAACCATCATCATCATCTTCCTCTTCATCATCCTCATCTTCTTCATTTCCGTTTTCATCCTCTCTTCATCATCATTATCATCTTTCTTCCTTTCCTCTTCACCATCATAATTATCATCCTCCTTCCTTTGTCATTCCTTCGTTTAATCATTGATTTTGTTAACTCGATTGTCATCAATAACATTGGCCGGCGATTCGCGAGTTAAAGTTTTTTGCATGTCTATCTGGATATCTACGATTCTGTGTGACTTTTTGTATTCTTTCTATTTTGTCATGTATACTTATTTTTCTCTATATTTTTTATCTCTCTCTTTTTTCTCATTAACTTTCTATGGTTTTTTTCTTTTTATTCTTCCTCTCTTTTCCAGCCAGCATACTTTCTCCAGTCATTTTCCTTCTCTCCCTCTCTTTTTCTCTCTCTTTCTCTCACTTTCTATCTTTACTTTTCGATCACCTATTTTTTTTTCTAACGTGTTTCTCGGTTGTTGCATTCCTCTTCCCAATCTTACTTTCTCTCTCTTACTTTTTCATTTTTTTTTTCAATTTTCTCTTTTCTCACTTTCTGAATACTCTCTTCAAACTTTTCCGCTCCAGTTTTTGTATTCTCTCTCCAATATTCATTTTCTCACTTCCTACATTCCCTCCCCAATCTTCTCCCTCTCTCACCTCTACCTGACCGGCCACCTCATGTCTCGTCCATCATCTCGGAGCGTCTCCAAGGCAACGAGATAAGAGATGTACCGAGCAGACAAATGAAGCGGAGATGTGCAAGTCTGATATCGTATCTCGATATACTGTGTATGTGTTTGCGTGCGTCCGTGTGTGCGTGTTTGTGTATGTGTGGGTTTTTGAGTATGTGTGCGTGTGTATGGCGCTGAATTAGTATATGAAAATATGTTAATGTGTGTGTTTCTATGTATGAAATGTACAACACATTGGTGTTGTATATTTCACATACATCTCTATGTAGTTGTATGTCTGTGGATGTGTGAGCGTGTTTGGTGAAGTCTTGATGTCATTGGAGAATACGTGTTGAACATAGCATGTTGCATGTATGAAATAAATGTGTATAAGTATGTGAGTGTATGTACGGTGGTGCGTGTATGTACGTGTGTGCGTGTATGTGCGTGTTTCATTTTTATCGTCATGTGCGCGCGTTTCATTCGGTTTATCGATCGATTTGATTGCTCATTACGTAAGATTGGCATGTGACTCTGACTCCGAACAAGAGAGCGATTTGTATGCATGAAAATCTCTGTGTATGTCCGTGCGTGTATATCTGTGTACGTGCGTATTGTTTGCGTGTGTTTGTGTGTGTGATTGTATGTATACACAGCTCATACATATACGCTTGACATGACATACAACTATTGTTTTTATGTATGCTATCGTTGGTTTGAAGATTTTTGTATACATACTTGTTTGTGCATGTTTGTGTGTATGTGTGTGTGTACGTGTTTGTATGCGGATGTGTGTAGAATATGAAATGTTGTGTGCGTATTTCGCAATGTTTATGCTTCTAATACCACGTGGTGGTAAAATATAAGTTGCCAAAAAATTCTAACATTTTTCTAATTTACTAGCCAAATTTAATTACGACACATAACTAATATATGCAAAAATATGAGTTATTTTGTTTTGGTGAATACATTTTATAAAAATATTTAAATATTAAATATATACAAACAGTAGTACATAGTTGTGCGCGCGTGTGAATGTGATGTGTATGTATGTATGTATGTGGTTCTTTGTGTGTATGTGTGTGTGTGTGTTTGTTTGTGTGTGTGTGCTTGTTTTTTCCTATGCAGCATAATAAAACTAAAACGGTTGCAATTTCAGATCACGTTAGATCAGATCAATGCAAAAAAAATTGTTTACCACCCTCTTGCAAAACTTCACAAAGACGCACACAAACAAACAAACACACACACACACGTACACACACAAACACTTACAAACACACACACTCAAACGCGTAAAAACATATATACAACCTTACGGTCAAAACAAACAAACTCATTTTTTTTTGTTTTTACGCGCAAACATGCACATATTCTCGTTTGTTTTATGCATGGTTTGCCGGAAACAAAAGATCATATATAGACATAAAGATAACGGAAGTGACGTCATTATCGTCGTCGTCATTGTTGTCAACTTCATCGTCGTTTAGACTGAGTGAGACTTGTTTGCGTTTCTGAACGTTGCAATTTATGGCTCTTATTATATCTGCGTATGTATGTATGTATGGCATGTGTGTGTGTGTGTGTGTGTGTTTGTGTGTAGATTTGTATGTGTGTAGTTTCTTTGTGTGTGTGTGTGTGTGTGTGTGTAGATTTGTATGTGTGTAGTTTCTTTGTGTGTGTGTGTGTGTAAGTGTCTATATATATGTGTAATTCATTAGATTTCATACCCCATACAGGCATAAACATATACACATTCTTACAATACAACATAAATGTGTGTGTACGCATAGGGTATACATACAAACAAACAAGCAAGCATACATACAATCATACATGTACATTCATAGAAACAAACAAACAAACCTGCATACAAACTATCATAAAAACAAACAAACATACATACAAACATTCATAGAAGCAAACCAACAAACCTACATACAAACATAATAGATGAAATTTATGTGACCCTTTCAAATGACATCTTATAAATACTTCAATTGCTGTTTCCTTTAACCTCTGATGTTCTTTATACATACATATATTTCTCTGGTTTTTTGTGCGTGCAATTTTGCGTGCACGCACTCTTTGTACACGTTTCTGTTAGTGTACAATTTTTTGTATACATTCATGGAGTGTAGGATTGATTTTTTTTAATTTTCATGTTAGGTACAAATTACTTTCTAATACTTAAGTAATTGATAATTGGTGATCTTTATTCTAAAATAGGATGAGTCGTTTAAATTTGCATTTTCAGTTTCATAAGAAATTATCCTGCTAATTAAAATATATATATATATATAAAATTTGTATCAATTCATTTTTTTTCTATGCAATTTTGGTGACGTCATTTGCTCTAGTGAGATTTTAAATAATTTCTCGGTTGAGATGTTTTCAAAATTTATTCTGGAATAAGAAATCGTTTATTTCATTTGGAGTTTTTTTTTTATTTAATTTTGTTTTATTTATTCCAATCATCACATACATACATTACAAGCGTACCATTTTATGACATACATTTTTAACTATGTGGCACAAGTTAAAATTTTTATAAAAATTTTTTGGAAATTTTTGAATGTGTCACGTAAGTTAATTATGTGATTTTCTTTTGTTTTTACCGTTAACATTTGCTAATTCAATTATTTTTCTCCTTCTTTCTCTCTCTCTCTCTCTCTCTCTCTCTCTCTCTTTCTATTGTCTCTTTTCTCTTTCACTCTCTCTCTCTTTCTATTGTCTCTTTTCTCTTTCACTCTTTCTATCTTTTTTCTCTTTCTCCCTCTGCCCTCTGATATGCTGTTTTTGTTTTCCTGTTATCTTTACACGCACACATATACATGCAAATACAATACAATCTATATCTACATAGAGGCAATAATTAAATGAACACATATCTAGGTGTAATGGTTCACCTTTCTCTCTCTTTCTCTGTATCTCTCTCTCCTTTTCTTTTACTGCTTTTCTCTCTCTTAGTTGATTTCACTTGTTTTCCTTATTGAACACATATACATTCATATATATTCTATACGAAGATTACCATTAGATGTATAAACACAGATAATTGTAATGTTCTTTCATTCCAATCCTCTTTCTGTCCTCTCTATCAATCTGTCTCGCTCTCTCTTTCTTTCTTTCTGCTTCTCTCTCTTTATCTCTTTCTGCTTATGTTTTTATTTCATCTGTATACAAGCAAACATGCATAACATACGTATATACGCATGAAGACGATCATAAAATGAACGCAAAGATATCTACGTACTACGAACGCGTTGCGGAGAGCGCAGATTAATTTGATTCTCGCTGGCGGCTACTATATCTGATATTAGATGCCATATTTCTGATTGATATATGTGCGTGTGTGTATCTTTGTGTGTTTGTGCGTGTGTCTATATGTGTTCGAGTGTGTCTGTGTGTGTGTGTGTACTGTACGTCTGTTCATCTTTGCGTATAAATGTGTACTTTTGTATATAAGTATTAGGTGATGTGTTCTGTTTGTTTTAGTTTCTGTGTTTATGGATGTGTGCGTGTGTTTGCACGTGTTAATGTGTGTGTGTGTTTGCGTGTGTGTCTATACATCCGCCAAAATGAATTGATCAAATTTGTTTGCGGATGCATTTAATTAAATTAAAACGGTATCACACGTTTGTGCGAGTCCACAGATACATCAGGGCACATGCACATTTGCGTGTGTGTGTATATGTATGTGTGTGTATATGTATGTGTGTATGTGTGTGTATGGGTGTGTAGGGTGTGTGGACACCAAATGTGCAGTAGGCTGATTGATCTCTGGGACTCGTAGAACGTTGTGATACCTTTTTATTTTAATTAAATGCATCCGCAAAAAAATTTGATCAATTCATCTTGGCGGATGTATAGACAAAAGTGTTCACACACACCACACACACCCGCGTGCGCACACAAATGCATACATACAAACATACATACAAACATACATACAAACATACATACAAACACACATACACACATACATACATACATATATGCACACATTCACATTTTACACAACATACAAAAACTTATAGATTTAAATGAGAATAATTGAGAGAGAAAAAATTAAACAAAAAGATATACAAAGAGAAATAAAGTAAAAAAAAGCTGGAAAAAGAAAAGAAGAATGAGAGGTAACAGACAGTGAGAAGGAAAAAACATACATCACACACAACACATATTATGATGCTTTAAACCAAAAACACGGGTCGAAACACTAAAGGGTTGAAGTTGCTGTAGCTGCTACAACAACTACCAGCACAAAGAAACACACATATAAAATGACATAGACTGATGCAAGATAAAATAAATTGTTGGACACACATTCCTAAGAAAAAGAGAATTCTTTTTTATTTTGTGAAATCCCCCCGACGGAATTTATTTTCCAATTCAATAAATTTTTTATTTTCAACATTTTTTTTATATTTTTTTGTGTTTGAAAAAAAACGATAAACAGTTTTTTTGCATCGTTTAATTTTTGATAGCGGCAAATAAAATTAAATTTGAAAAATTTATCATTTTTAAACAATTGCAAAAAAAATGAATGGAAAAACACACATTCAGTAGATAAATAAGTAAATTTACTATCAATAACAATAGCTGAAAGTATAATATTCATCAAATTAGATCTACGTTAATATTTAAAAATGAGATTTTAAATTAATTTTTTCAATAAAAAAGTAAAGTTTTTTTTTGTACTAAATAGTAGTATTCCGTGAACAAATACACTTGAATAAGTAATCGAAATCATTTTTTTCATCTAAAAGTAAAATTCTAAATAATTTAGCTAAATTAGTAAATTAATTGATGTATTTATGATTAATTATTATCATCATTCTTGGCGATCTAACAGTATCTATTTATCAATATTTGTTCGATAAGTATTTAAAAATAATAACTTTTAAATAATGACTATTTTTATTCATTCATGTATCTGTGTGTATGTTTTTATGAACGTGTGTACGTGTATATGTATATGTACGTGTGAGTGTGAGTGTGTGTGTGTGCGTTTGAATTCTTCAAAATACCTGTTGTACGTTGATGATGGCATATACATATATATATATATCAATAGTACATTAATGGGTAGTTAACGAAAATTAATTTTCAACAAGTCAATATGGAAAAAGAATTTCATTTTTTTTTGGACGGTTTGTGTCGGGACTTTATAGAAAAAAAAGAAAAAAAAACAACTATAAAAAAAATTTCTATAAAATTTGCACAGTGGTTAATAAACGAAACATTAAAAAAATGACCCAAAAACAAAAGAAATTGCAGAAAAAAGTAAGGAAAACAACATTAAAGGCCAATTAACGCATTGTATGACAAAAAAGTTCTAGACGAAATAATCATTCGTTGTAAAATCATAACATACCTTACTTTTAATTTTAATTAAGTTGGAAAATTCACAAAAAAAATTCACGTAAATCAACTAGATCATTGAGTAAAATATTTTTAGAAAAACATAAATTACAGAAATATACATACGAAAGATACAGTATAATTTACAGTAAGTGACAGTAATCGTTATATTATAAAGTGACAACAACAAAACTAAGAAGCGTATAGTAAAGAAATAGGACGGCAAACAGATTATTTCGAAACTCCAAGGAAAACAATATCAATGAAATTATAAAATAAAATTTTCTAAAAATATATATAACAACGTAAAATAATACATGAATTAGTCACAACACATATCTTTATATACACATTCATACAGACATACACACCCACAGACACAC